ATATATATATATATATACCAAAAGCAACAAAGATTAGAAAGGACCAGAGAACACCACCAGAAACTCCAACTCTACAAGCATTGTAATGGTAGTACTCACTCTAAACGTCAGTGGACTCAATGTTCCAATCAAAAGACACAGGCTAACAGAATGGATAAGAAAACAAGATCCATCTATATGCTGTTTACAAGAGACCCACTTGAGACCTAAAGACACCTTCAGATTGAAAATAAGGGGATGGAGAACCATCTATCATGCTATCATGGTCAACAAAAGAAAGCCGGAGTAGCCATACTTATATCAGACAATCTAGACTTTAAAATAAAGACTGTATCAAGAGAGGCAGAAAGGCATTATATCATAATCATGGGGTCTATCCACCAAGAAGACTTAACAATTGTAAACATTTATGCGCCAAATGTGAAAGCACCCAAATATATAAACCAATTAATCACAAACATAAAGAAACTCATTGATAGTAATACCATAATAGTAAGAGACTTCCACACCCCACTCACAGCAATGGACAGATCATCTAATCAAAAAATCAACAGGGAAACAATGGCTTTGAATGACACACTGGACCAGATGGACTTAACAGATATATTCAGAACATTTCATCCTAAAGCAGCAGAATATACATTCTTCTCCGGTGCACATGGAATGTTCTCCAGAATAGACCACATACTGGGACACAAATCAGCCCTCAGCAAAGTGCAGAATGATCGAGATCATACCATGCATATTTTCAGACCGTAACACTATGAAACTCAAAATCAACCACAAGAAAAAATTTGGAAAGCTAACAAATACTTGGACTGAAGAACATCCCATGAAAGAATGAATGGGCTAAGGAATAAGTTAAAGGGGAAATTAAAAGTATATGGAAGCCAATGAAAATGATAACACCACAACCCAAAACGTCTGGGACGCAGCAAAGGCAGTCATAAGAGGTAAGTATATAGCAATCCAGGCCTTCCTAAAGAAGAAAGATCTCAGATACACAACATAACCTTATGCCTTAAAGAGCTGGAAAAAGAACAGCAAATAAAACCGAAAACCAGCAGAAGACAGGAAATAATAAAGATTAGAGCAGAAGTTAATGCTATTGAAACCAAAAAACAGTAGAACAG